GGTGAAGGAAGCCAAGGTGTTGGATCGCGATTGCGAGCTGGCAACCACTCACTAACTACACCGCCTACCGTAGCTTTACGCTTGTTGTTGGCCTTGGGGCCACGAGGTGCCCGATGATCTGCTACAGCTGCTTCTTGTCTACTAACGATGCTGTCAATGTGTGTGAACTCGTTCAGTGAGCCCTGTGTGGGTTTTTGAGCGTCGTCATCGTCGTCGGCAAACGAAATGAAATCATCATTGGCAACGACAGAATTGTGCCCTGCAGCTTTCTCCACCTCTTGGTTCTTTGCTTTCCGGATCAGTTTCACGAAGTCGACCCTTTTCCCCGTTGTCTCATCCGGCGGTGGCAATGCGGTATAGGGGTCTGGATTGGACCATTTAGGGACAGAGTCGCCATCAGTACGCTTGACCTGGGTCCGAGCAGCCTTTGGCTTACTCCGTGACGCGTCGCCGTCCTGCTGGCTTTCCGAGGAATCATCGCTTTCTACTTCCATGTCGGCTTCATCATCATCCGACAGGTCGTCGGGATTTTGAAAGCGGTTGGAATCAGCTGCGATGCCCAATGCACGCTCAGGAGTGCCGTTCTCGCGGTGCTGAAGCAGAGCACGCTCGTGAGGCGCAGCCTTCTTGAAGCCACCTCTACGATGGCCGTTTGCATTGTTCCTGCCGTTGGCACGAGACTGGTCTCGCGGTGCCCCGCCACGACCGCGTCTTCTTGATGTTGCAGAACCAGAAGGGCCTCGCGGGTTGGCGGGGCCAGAGGGTGGAAAGCGGGGCGCGGGGTGGCCGGACTCGAAGGTGAATTGCGAGCGACTGCTGTTGCGCTCGCCGCCGGGTCGATAACTGTCGCCATCTCCACCTGTGAACGTCATGCGGTCGGCGAGCGGTGGCGGGCGGTCGCGTCCAGGGCGATATGAGTCGGCCATGGCGTGTCGTAATTTCCAGGGGCAGTCAGAGTCGTGCGCGGCCAGTGACTGTGGCTATGTGTATATGCGTGCGTGTATGTGTATGCGCAGGTGGCGTTTGGCGGATCGTGATGTGATGCAAAAGAGCAGCGGTGGTTGCGCGCGAAAGTTTTGTGTCGAGACGGGCCTGGTGTAAGCCAAGCCTCTAGCGTGACCTTCAGGCGTTGTGGGGGTGAGGACTGTCAGCCCCTCGTCGACTCCACGTCTGTATCGTTTACCATTGCCAGCATGTAGTACCTGCATACATACATATATAGTATATCCGCAAGCTACATGCTCGAACAACACATGGCCTCACTAGCTCCTAGGGAAAATCATTCCTGCGATTGGGATTAAAACAGTCATGTGGGTAACTTCGGTATGGGATGCATTGAGTATGGCTCAGCTGTCGATTTCCTTGTTACAGCATATAATGATACAGTATTCGAACATTAAAGGAAAATAGCACATGTACGTGCAGGAGTGGAGAGACGTAAAAGCATACCCTTGCCAGTCAAACTGCACTCTCAACCACAGTGCGCCTTCGCTGAACTGTGCCCAGAGAAGGTCCAAACGCTATGCCAAACGCCGCTCAAATGCAACAAGACACTCTTCATTGCCATCTACAACACTTGGACACTTTGATCTGTGCAACAACCTGTCTCCCCTGTTTGGGTGGTTTGCACTGCCGTCTATGACCAAAGTGTCGGCCATTTCGTCTGCGTTGAATCCGGCTTAGTCCTCCTTTGTGAATTTTGGCTTGAAGCCCTCTCTTAATTCCTTTTCTCTTTCCGCTACCCGTTGGTGGCCTTGTATCTCCCTCTCGATCCTTTCCCTTGCCCTCAGGATCTTGCTCTGCAGATAGAAACTGCCGCCCTTCTGTGGGTCATTCAGGTCAAACAGCCGCTTGAATCGCTCTGTGACTACTTCCAGCTCAATGTTTCCCATCTTTCCTGGCCCCACATTCAAGATCTGGCAGGCCTCGTCCATGGTGATGTTTGAGGATGAGAAGGCGCCTCCGCTTTTTCCACCCTGGTTGGCTGCTGCATATTTCTGCGAGGCGGCTGCTTGACGGTACGACTCAGACACGGCTCGACCTATTATCCGGGCGCCCGAAAAGACGACTTGTGTTATTATGCGGTGGGCCTACGGGCGTTAGTTCGGCGTGGTGGGAAGAGGACATTGTTGCAGCGCACCATTGTGGCTATGATGAAACCGAGGGCGACAAACGAACAAGAATTGTTTCTCTTTCAGGATCGTGAGGCGCAGGCGCTCGACTTCTGCTTGGTGGTGGCGGGTGCGGACGGCGACGAGGGCATCTCCAAAATTTCTGGGGCCCCTTCCGTAGTTTCGGTCTGCTTCCGGGGCTGGCACGTGACCATGGCGGCTCGGCCAATCACGCCACGATCGCAAACCGCCACGCCCGCAACCACCATGTTCTTGTGTGCTCTGGTGCATGCAGATGCGAGCGGAACAGCCAAACAGATTCCGGGTTGACACGCATATGTCATACAAGAATGCTCAGCTTGTTGTTTACAAGGAGCGCATCGCCGAGGGCTGTCACAAGACTCCCACGAGTCGCCCTCGGACCAAGACCTTCACATGCTCGGGGACCCCCGCAGAAGACATGACCGTGTGCAGCAACGCCGGAAGTGCTAGTAGTTGCATGACACCCTTTGTTCACTCTCAGGCTGTTCTTGCCCGCGTTTGCACACTTGCTTCATCCTGTACAAATATACACGCCGGGCGTGGCTTGACATCAACGCGGCCCTCAGCCTCCTCTGCGCAGCCGGGCGATGACGCACATCCCCATGCATGGCAGCACTAGGTCCGTCGCCTCCAGACTCGCAACAAGATTGCGTGTAAAATTGGTCGCGCAACCACCATGCTTACCCTCGACTAGATACGCCCTGGATAGAGCACATGTCCACTCCTCACAGGTCCACTAACGATGCGTCGTCTCCGCCGTCTACCGGTGATCCGAATCCGCCCACCTATGCCTCCTTCTCGCCCGCCCATCTAGGCCAGACAACGCCCCAGACCAAGCGCCGCTCCGCCATACTTGTCCACCAGAAATCCCCATTGCTTGCTGCTACGCCGCCTCAAATCACCCGTGTCCTTGCATATTCGCATCCCTTCATACTCCCGCTGAATAAGTTTGCTGGCCTGGTGACATGGACGACGGGCGATCCATGGGAGAGCTTTCTGCTCGTAGCCGCCTTCTGGGCAGTCGTCATGTACGGGGATGCAGTCACGAGATATGCCGGGCCCATCATCATAGTCTCGGTTTTGATTCTGGGCATGTACACGCGCAGGTATTCGCCCCTGTCGTCTACGGGCTGGACTGGCGAAAAGGGCCAGACAGAACACAAACGAGTCGAGTCGGACACCAGCATCAAACACCACAAGAGTCTGGAGGAGATTGTCGATAGCCTGAAACTCTTTACTTCGCGCTGCAATATTCTGTTGGATCCATTTTTGCGCCTGACAGATTTCCTTTCTACTCAGAGGACTGCGACATCGGCTACCACACGACCAGCGCTGACTGTGCTGTTTATCCGCATTCTCTTTGTACTGCCGTTATGGATAGCACTTACGCTCCCACCCTTCTACATTCTTACCACGAAGAGAGTCGTACTGGCAATAGGCACAGTGATGCTCAGCTGGCATTCGCGACCAGCGCGCGTCACGCGCACGCTGCTTTGGAGATCAAAGACGGTCCGAAAAACATGCGCCTTCCTCACTGGCCTGGACTTTGGCGAGATAACATCAGCAAACCAAAAGGGACCACCCCCTCTCCCACCACGGAAAAAGAGCACCCAGGAAGTTGCTGCCTCGCTGGCTGCTAAGCGCCGACCAGAGTCAACTGGAGTACGCTTTACTTTTTCCATTTATGAGAACCAGCGGAGGTGGCTAGGCATTGGCTGGACCTCGTCGATGCTTGCTTATGAGCGGGCATCATGGACGGATGAGCATCTCAATCCTGTGCCACCCAAGGAACAGTTTGAGCTGCCCGAAGTTGAGGGTGGTGGCGCGAGATGGCGATGGGTCCAGGGCAGTGAGTGGAAGATTGATGGCGCCGCCAAAGATGGCAAGGCCGAGAAGGGTATCTCAAAGGAGGAGCTAGCCTGGATTTACTATGACAATAAGGTACAGTCAAGCAGATTACGGGCATGACATGGAGATACTGACCTGCAATAGTGGAGAGATGGTCGAAGAGGTCAAGACGGTTGGGGTCGCTATACACGCCGTCGGAAATGGTACCGTGATGCCGAGCTTGTCGAATCAACTCCTTCAACAGAGACTACACCCATCCCAACACCCAGGCCTGCTCCAGTCGACAGCTCTGGCGATTCTGACGCCATCCATCTCCGGAAACTTTCGTCGAATCTCAGCGTGACATCAAGCACCGACCCTACGCTCGTCGAGGGCGATGGACGCGAGTACGCTGCATCGGTCATTTCGGACACGGATGCTGCGAGCACTAAGAGCAGGAGAAGCTGGTTCAAGAGGAAACGCAGCAAGAGCAACTGCGGTAGTGTTAGCGGTGCTACTGCAATTAGTGATGCCGGCACCAGCGGAACGAGAAGAAGTGACGAGGACGATGTGCAGAGCCCGCTTGACCGTATAGTTAGGGATGAAGAGTGGAGGCTCGGTGACGATATCAGGCAACACCTTGATATCTGAGTTGAACTTTGATGTTTTCCTTTCATATACCCTTTTTCCCTTGCAATGCATGATGGGTGGTGATCTTGTGCCGTAGTACGACCTGGCTATATAGACATGTATGTCGCTTTGAGGACCCATAGGGACCTGGGTTTGTCGACATTACATATTCAACTTGGCGAGGGCATTCTTTTGGCAAAGTTCAGTCAAAATGTGTGACATTCCACGGTCACGCGCAGTGCATGGATAGCAGAGGTCTACTGTGTATGGGTTGAGCGCCCACGAGTCAGTCTGCGTGCTGACGGAGCCGCGCATGACGTCGCGGCAGTTTTTCGTCCCGCTCACGAACTTCAGACTTCCAGCCCGCGACAGTGATGCGACTCACCCTCCATGTCACTCTCCAGGTATGCCAAGACATACCTACTGAACCAATCCAAGTACAAACATCTCAATGTTTTCAACTCACTAGTCGCTCCGTCAGTGCTCGCCTCGCGCGACAATGCCGCCGAATCCAGTCCTGCTTCTCGCAGTATCAAGGACAAGCCAATCGCAATAAAAGATAACATTTGCACAAAAAGCTTGAAGACAACAGCATCCTCCAATATATTGAAGGGCTTTACCAGCCCGTACGATGCGACGGTAGTCAAGCTCCTCCAAAATGAAGGTGCTGTCATCGTGGGCAAAACCAACATGGATGAGTTTGGCATGGGCTCGCATTCGACACATTCGCAGTTCGGCCCAGTAAGGATGCAGAGGTATGAGGGCGAGAAATTGAGTGCAGGGGGAAGCTCAGGCGGAAGTGCGCTTGCAGTTGCCAGTTCTCAATGCTGGGCGTAAGTTCCCAGGTGTCGCGGAGACCCAGTTACATATGCTAAGACAAGCAGGGCGTTAGGGACCGATACTGGAGGCTCTGTCAGACTACCTGCTTCGTATACAGGCGTTGTCGGATTCAAACCGAGTTATGGCCTGCTCTCAAGGTGGGGCGTGATCGCCTATGCCAACTCTCTAGACACTGTTGGTATATTTGGGCGAAGCACTGAGGATGTAAGGACTGTCTTTGGTGAGTGCAGTTACCACCTGAGTATGCAGCATGTCTGACAATTCATAAAGACAAACTCAACATGCATGATCAGGAAGACCCAACCTCCATTCCTCCTTCAACACGTGTACGTCTTGGAAAGCGAAAGGAGAACCAATCATCACCTCTAAGGGTTGGCATCCCCCTCGATTACAACATTGAAACCCTACAGCCCGTTGTTCGCAAGGCATGGATTCAGTATCTGAATCACTTATGGGACCGCGGTCACAGTTTGCATCCTATTCGGCTACCGACGACACAACAGGCTTTGTCAGCTTACTACGTACTCGCACCAGCTGAAGCATCCAGTAACCTTGCAAGGTACGACGGAGTACGCTTCGGCAGTAGAGCAGAGGGAATTGATGGAACGCCTGATAGTGTGTTATTCGCCAAAACTCGTGGCCAGGGATTTGGAGCCGAAGTTCAACGCAGGATCTTGCTTGGAGCCTTCTCGCTTAGCGCCGAAGCTATTGACAACTACTTTATTCAGGCACAAAAGGTCCGCAGGCTGGTCCAGCAAGACTTCAACAGAGTGTTTGCAAGACCCAATCCTCTTTTTGAAGACGGGACAGCTCCAAAACAGCCAGAGGGGGTTGATGTTATCGTGTGCCCTACGGCACCATCCACGGCGCCATCGCTATCTGAAGTGGAAACCCAGGATCCTATTCGATCCTACATGAACGATGTATTCACTGTCCCTGCCAGTCTGGCCGGACTTCCAGCGATTAGTATCCCCGTAGGTGTGAACTTAGGGAAAGGAGACTCTGGGATACGAGGAGGAAGTGATTCAATCTTCAATACTGTGGGCTTGCAGGTGATTGGTCAATACGGAGATGATGAGCTTGTCCTGGATGCTGCGAAAATCATGGCGGATATTTCACCGTCTCCTCAAGTGCACCATGGGCCAGATGTCACTGCTTGGCATGTTGATGCAGGGCGAAAGATATAACATGTCGTCAGGTCTTGTCATCAAAACACTGTTAGTATCAACAGTCAATCACGCATCAATACAAATCGAAGTCGTGCCAGCCAATATCACGCATGACCCTGCCATGTCATCGTGGTTTGCATGCGACAACCACGCCACGTCAACAGTAGCTTCCCGTGAAAACGATGACATATCGGCCATTCTCTATAGTACTAGTGTTTTTTATTTGGACGAAGCCCGAAGCCGGTACCTCTCACCCAGTACCATGTCGATCTCAGACACTTAATAATAGAAACCATATGCCGACATCCCATGGCAAGGGCAGACGAATGCGACTCGGCTGAAATGATCACATAACCTTAGCGGACCTATGGCCACAGCTGATGGGTACTAGTGTTGGAGACTAGCAAGTGTTGCGTGGGGGGGGGGGTTGACATGTCACCGTATCCAAGTCCACTGCCTAGATACTGCTGCATATATGTAGTATTGTAGGCCTAAGCAGTCGGATGTAAGGGTGTTACAGAAAAGTTTACTAGACAGCTAATAGCTGCCGGCGAGATAGCAATAGTATCGACATGATACATGTCATGATGTCCTTGGATACTAGGTACAGTACGAGGACTCTCATGCCTTGGCGCTTTCACTAACCGCTTAAAGCCCAAGAGTCCACGCCCACGTGATTACGTACTAGTAGCCTGCACAGCAGAACTATCATGATTGGCCGGCATGTGACTAGGCACGATCGAGTCACGCGGGGTATAACGCGTGGAAGCTAGTGAGGCCATCTAGATTGGAGGCGCTACGTCATGGAATCGACACATGCATGCCACCAGTCTTGTACCTGTGAACGACAACCACGCGATTACAGTTGTACGCATCATGGTCTTGTAAAGCCGTCTGTTGCTTGCCATCATGTACATCTGCACCTAGCTATGTCTTGCATTATCAGCCCATGTCACATATGCACTGTATGCGGTGAAGGAAGGGCGGGGTTCACACTTGTAGGTTCAGTGTCACCGGTCTTCAAAGCACAACAGACACATCCATGGCCAGTCAGCAACGGATACGTAAACATTCGATATCAGATAAATGCGGCCAGACTATTTCCCACGTTGGCGGTTATGCCGTTCCATGGCCCTGCGTAAGAGAAGCAGTCCTCTGGACCTTGTTCTCCACACCATCTTCCGTGTGCCCGTGGCATCAAGTTTGAGACCCTAGAAAACGATACCTAGGCGGAAGCAATGTCCGGGCTCGCGGGACAATCAAGTGGCCAGGCAACAACTGAGAAGTGAAAGCAGGGCGCAGTGGAGCCCACCGTACGCGCCTCACGGAGTATACCGGGGGACTGCGCGACTTGTGCGAGTGGCCCATCGCCTCAAGCGGTTATCCCACCGAGTCTCCCAAGCCCTGACCGACCAGCCCCAGCATGCCTGTAGCCATCCAATCAAGTCTTGTCCGACGGCCAATGTATGATGCCAACCAACCAACCCTCCCGATCCAGCGTCACACTGTCGTCTGTATGGGTTAAAGGTGATGCGCATGGCGCGCATGCTGTCGGTCTTGGTCGATACTGAAAAGGAGGGGTCAAATCTAGTATCTTCGATATGTCACTCGTTGGGACAAGACACCCCACCATGATTGGGGAGGGGAGGGGGGGCGGTCGGCCGCACAAGTCGCGCATGACCCAAGCGCCTCCATATCCAGTCAAACGAGCAGCTGGCCGAGCGTGGGTAGAGAAAGAAACGAATGAGCCAGAGTAAGGCGAGACGGTCGGCAGGTCTATATAAGTATCCCCCCATCTCAGCACCTTGATGGCCTCATCGCGCTCCAACATTTGCTCATCTGTCCAACTTAACACACTAAGCTACTTTCAACCAACCAACCAACTCCCAACCAATCAACCATCTTCATCATGTCTCCATGGTACGTCTGCTCAGCATACTCCCCCTATACGATGCATCACGCCGCCTGCTGGGCATGCTGCTGGGATGGGGGATGGGGGATAGCGGTTTAGCGCCGTGATGGCTCCCCCGCCTCATCATGTGCTACTAGCAGTGGTGCACCGGTTGGAGCGTATCGAACTCTCCTTTTTTTTTTCTCTCAGAAACGAAGATTGAACTTTCTTTTGCTAACTGCGTTGTGTTTAACAGCACCTGCAACACCTGCTCCTGCAAGGGCGACTGCTCCAGCTGCAACTGCGGATCTTGCTCCGTAAGTCTCTCTCTCTCTCTCTCTCTCTCTCTTATTTCTAGGCCTGTCCTAGCAATGAAACAAGAGACAAAGTTTTGCTAATACCACTGATGCTCTAGCACTAAGTCGATAACATGATACCACCCGACTTTTGCAACCTTTGAAAAAAAAAAGCACATGACGGCCACGGTTCCATCGAGCGATTTGGAGAGATGGACAAGACTTTTGTTTCAACATGATGGTCGTTTTGTGACTGACTTTGAGAGGGGTTGGCATAGGAACCTTTGAGTAGGAAGGGGTGGAGATGGGAATCCCTGTATGAAGCATTATGGATTATGGACACTCCTTTGAATCAAACAATAAGCATTCAAAACATGGACATTTGTTGTGATTGTGATGTATGCGACGGTTGGGTTTGATACCAGGAGAGAGTTGAGTGAATTGGATATGATTTGTAGACTGGACGACTGGGGTAAATTATTGCACATACTGGTAATGATCCTTGTTGTTTGACCTTGGTGGTACATGGCATTTTGCTATCTGAACATGTATACTTTCACGGCTTTTTTTTCTTTCTCTCTTCACTGTATACAAGGTAACCTGCTGCCTTTACACTTTCCTCTATCTCTCTTCCTAACCACTAGTTACGCTTTTCTAGATATATACCACCCTCCTTTATTTGTCATAGTCTTAACTTTCAAGTCTCAAAAACGGTGGTGAAGATACGTGTACAAGTCATGATGACATTAGCTCTCCATCAGTTTAAGAGAATAGTCAAGGTTGCGAAACTGTATAATTCAATCTGGAAAGCGGATTTAGCATACGACATGGTGCAGCCGTCGTGAGTACATGAATAGTTATAGTCTTCAGCTCAGCCTTCCAGATGCCGATAACCTAATTATCAAGCGACGTGTAGTATGAATTGTAAAGTCTGATTGTTTCCATGTGCCACGATGAATTCCATTCTTGGTCTTCCTCTACAACGTATCTCAGATACTTCCTATCGACGAGCCAAAAAAAAATTGAGATACCCATTCAAGTGTTTATGCCTTACTTTTGTTCACGTTATTAACAATGCATGGGGACTCGAGACTAGACGGGGAATGACCGTGTACCCGGCCGAAGCTGATAATTTTGGTAAACATGTCAAAAACGCCTGCGCTATGCAAAATGAGGACAAAAAAGAGCCTTGTAGTTGACGGGTGCAAATACAGCAACAAACCAGGACTATTCATCCATTTGCCACTGATACTCGAGTTTCTCGATATTCGCCTTGCGATTTCTCGAGTCGAACCACTGCTTCTCGAAGCCATTACTACGATCAATGCCGTCCCATCGGTGACCAGGACGAATGTTGTATCTGTTTGGCTGGAACGGCCCTTTGTACAGCGGCTTTCCAGTAATACTGCGCCCAGCCTTCTTTTTGCGCAAAAAGCCCATGGCCGGGTCGTTCCAGTGATCGCGTTCCTTGAGCTCATCGTTGAGTTCGGCGTCATCTACGTATCGGGCGACTGTCATTGTCTTTGCGTCTTGCAGCTGCTGTTTGCGGCGCTCGGCTTCTGCATTTTGCACATCTCCACGTGCTGCGCGTTCTTTTTCACGCTTCTGCCGCTCCTCTTCCTCTGCCTTTTTACGTGCCTCGGCGCGCTTCATGGCGACATTGATGATGCGACCGCTGGCATCTCGGTATATGGTTTCCGGTGCCGCACCGCCCATTTCCTTTGCAATTTTCTCGGCCTGGCGCTTCTCCTCGTCTAGCTTCTGATTCATCGCAGCCTCGACTTGGGCGGCTGTTTGCAGGCCTGCCTTTGTGCCCGACGCTGTTCGAAGTATCCCATCCTGGTCTACCATCTCTGGGGCTTCGTCTTCGGCTGCCGCAGCCTTTTCGCGATCGGCAGCAGTACCTGCAATGATGGCATCGGCGGCAGCAGCGTCGGCAGCAAGCTGCGCAGCATGCGAGGGCGCAGCGACACCGACAGCCGTCCACGTTGCTGCGCTGGTGCCTTTTGATTTCTTCTTTGATTTCTTCAGCGTGCCTCCGCCGACTGATCAGCACCGTGTTAGCCATGGACATGTGCAGGATGCGCGAGTTGGGGGGCACTCTTACCTATCATTGGCGCGTCATCGTCGTCATCGTCGGCCTTGTCTTTCCAACCCAGGTTGTCGTCGTCTTCAATGATGAGGCCGGCATCCTTGTTCTTTCTTTTGCGCTTCTTGGATTTCTTTTCCGAATCAGCCGTAAGGTAGTTTTTGGCCAGGTAGTCGGCAAGTCCAGACATGCTTGATTGGATGGCGGGGTTGGCTGCCCATTGTGCATGCCTACAAGTCGCGAAGTTTGGCAGGCAAAGTCGACGGGCTTGGCACGCGCATCATGACAGGTCACGTGATCTCGCGTCATGGCGTGTGACCATGCGCGATGGGCCCCTGGCGGGTGATCTCACTCACCCCAATACCTCGTCTTGGATTACACTACACACTGCGACTATGGCACCTGGAGAACGCTCCGAAGAGGTGTGGCTGTGGTACACAGCCGTGTACGAGGCGATTCAGGAGATACCGTATGGCAAGGTCACCAGCTACGGACACATTGCCAGGCTGGTGGGAAAGCGTGCGTGGTGCTGGGAGATGATGATGATGGTGATGATGACGACGACTGGCTGACTTGTTTGTTTGACTATAGCCGAATGTCCAAGGTAGCAGCACTCATCACCATCATGTCACTGCTGCGACTAACAGGTGACGTCAAAAGACAGGTGGGCGTGTGTCTCAAGAACCTGCCTTCGCCATGGCCATCGACATCGGGCGACAGCAGCAGGACGAAGCCCAGGTTTCATAGCGGCAACGTGCCTTGGCAGCGCGTGATCAACGCCAAAGGCGGCATCAGCCCGAGGTCTGCGCCCTCGTCATGGCGACAACGCCTTGTTGCCTTTGTGTTTGCCTGCTGACAAAGGACAAAGAGGACCAAGTGCAGCGGCGCACCAAGCAGATGTTCTACGGAGGGAAGGTGTAGAGGTCAGGCAGGATGGCATGGGGCAGTACACGGTGGAGCTGGACGAGTACGGGTGGTTCCCGGACATGCTCCCGAGCGAAGCAGAGCAGATAGAGGGCAGCGACATGGACGAAGACAAGGACGAGGACGAGGCCGCGTACCATACTTGAGGCATATTGCTTGAGAAGCTCTAGGGGGTGGCTTGAATAGAGTACATGGTGTAGTGACAGCAACCAGGGTCTTGTTACAGCAGTGCATTGCCGTTGAGCGAACAACGTGTGTGTTAGGCGGCACGTTAGAGTTGGCAAGTCGCTGATTGCCGGCGGCTACCCCCAGGTCGTGGGTGGTTAGTATGGGGTAGATGGCCGTGAGCCGGATCCCGAAGGCTCTAGATTACATGACTGTACGGAGCTAGTGGGGGGAAAGGGCGCAGATACGGGCACCGAATGCGGATAGCTATCGGGGGGTTGGGAGCAAAGGGGCGCGCCATGGACTTGTTAATGTGCAAGCTGGCTGTGATTGTTGGGGCGTCTGCATCTGCGAGATGCCATGACTGTTGGTGCGTGACAAGTCGATAGAAAGGATGCAACCTGGTCGGGGGAGGAGGGCGGAGGGCAGCCATGTGGGGTCGGCAATCGGGGGGGGGGACCATCCAGGGACATGGGGGAGAGCTGGAGCCTTGAGCCTTGATGGAGCCCTAGAGTGAGAGCTTCAGCTTCAGCTCCCTTCTCCCCCCCTGGCCCATGTCCGTCGTCGTCGTCGTCCCCGTCTTCGCCGTGCTGCAATCCAGGAACACGGCACGCCTGCAACCCGCCCACGTTGGCCACCAAGAGGCTGCTGAAACTCCGATGATGACACCACGGCCACCAGCGTCAAACCGGAGCCGCGTCGGGTTAACGCGGGAAATGCCTCGGCGAGTCGGATGGGCGCGTCGGGGGCCATGGTGATGGCCATGGTCATGAGCTCCCACTCCCTCACTCCCTCCTTATCAACAACCAGGACAAAAGAGCGGGGACAGCGCTGACGCCTTTGACCTCATCTCAAAGGGCGGCCCCGTCCGCGCCACTATTTAGCTGCAGGGCATGCCTATCTGCGTGCGGCCTAGGTAGATACTCACTTGCATCCTACGCCCATTCCCATTACTACTATACCTACACTACTTACATATACACTACACACTTACGGTACATACCTTAGCCATAATCCCTCACAGCTGCCTGCATAGCCACCCGGTCTTTGCTCCCAATACACGTCCGTCATCCTGAGTCACTTCTCAGAGTCATTCACAAGACAGCCGCCAGTCATCAATCACGCCTTGCTACCCGTGCGCCCTTGTACTACTTATTCCATTCATACTCACATACCTGTTCTTTGCACATCATCCCTCTAGCTCCGTCACTCTCCACCTGCTCCTTGACCACCCAGCCACATACGCATACATCCATACTACTACCATACATCCATACTACTACTGCTACTCCTCCTCCATACCGTCATACCGTCATACCTGCCACACTCGCGCCAATACTACTCTCAACTCTTCCAACCTTCACCGGCAACCACTCGCACCCTCACCATGTCGGCCTCGCAGACCTTTACTGGCGACCTTCGCAGCAGCGCCAGGGAGTTCAACCGCGACAAGAACAGCAGGGCCAAGTGGGCACACGGCCAGTCGTTTGGCCCTGGACGGCGCGAGGAAGACGGCAAGCCTCGCCCTGCGAAGCCCTTCCCTCATGTCAAGTAAGTCGCCTCCCGTACTACCATGGTTGTGAAGCCATCAGAGTACTAATCCGCGTAGGGCCTCCTCTTTTAGTCCTATGAAGGCCCGCTCTACATTTCACAAGGACATGGCATCGGCTAGTGACGAGTCGTCGGCCGACGAAGACGTCGACCACCCGTCGGCTGCCCCTGCGCCAGATGCCGACATTGCATACTCATACGATGCCGCCCGCGGTCCCAGCCACGGCAGTCAGATCCTCAACTATGCTCTCGACAAGGCTGTCGAGCGCTTCGAGACCAAGGAGACGGAGAAGCTGGTCAAGAACGAGTACGAGGTTCTGGACATTGATGACGACATGCCACGAACCAAGCGACGCGTCGCTCCCGAGGATGAGGAGTACGAGTTCGTCGACGCCTAACTGTCTGGGGCCAGTCTCTTGACTTTCTGAGTCTTCTTCGCCTGCACTCCTTCCTTCCTTCCTTCTCACTTCTTGCATATGACTTTATCGGCGTTTTCTGACACGCGGTCTTGACTTGATTGTCGACTTTTGGTATGGCTTTTTAATGTACGGCAGCATCAATAGGCGAGCGTCTGGCGCTTCTCTGAGGACTTGAGCAGCCCTATACCCGTCCCGGCTTGCTTTTTATTTTTATTTTGGAGGGGAGAATGTTTGTGGCTTTGGCTATGGGCATCGTGTTTTGCGGCTGACAGCTTTCCAGTGTGGTTTTGCAGAGTATGCATGGATGTATGGATGTATGGATGTATGGGGGTTGTTGGTTCTACATGTAGCACACTTAGTCCACAATCACATCATTAGTGATCGGTATGAATTCATGCCGTTCCGACCGAGCTGGCTTTGTAGCGACAAATAGGGAGCGTGAGGCATGGCGTGTTGCGCGTCGCGGAGTCGAGGTTGCGCCGTCAGCCGTATCTTATCGCGTGCGTTGCACAGCCCTTTCTTTCCTAAAGCGGACGATAGTGCGACGGCAGCCGGACGGCGTCGCGGCCCACTGACGAACGGACCCCTTGAAACCAGCACCCCTACGTCATCGCCCAATGAAATCATTCCATTCGGACATTCCCAGAACCTTTTCTTACCCGGCAACTCCAGTCTATTTCCTTCACCCTCCGCAGCCTGATAAATGGCGCGCCCGACTTAGCCTGGCTCCACGCACAACTCCATCCTCCCAAAATGACAGTGTCTGTCGATACCGCACCACCACAACACAAGGCCAGCCGCCCACGATGGATTCTCCACATTCAAGCCCAGTTCTGGCGCGTGCTCATGGGCATCGGTATGGTGCTCCATCGTCTTGCCCGGCCATGGCCCCCTAGACCCGCCTTCCACAGGGACATTGACGCCACCGTGTCGCCCATCAAGGGCAAGTTCCGCCTCAACTTCTACACACCCAAGGACTATAAGATGCAGAAAAAACTTAAGAGTGCCAAGAAATACCCAGTCGTGATCAATTTCCATGGTGGCGGCTTTGTTCTCGGCACAGCCCACGACGATGCACGCTGGTGTGGCGCCGTTGTTGACCAAGTGGGAGCTGTTGTTGTCAGCGTCGATTATCGTCTTGCACCCGAAAATCCATTCCCTACTGCTGTAGAGGATGGCGCTGATGCGTTGCTTTGGCTGGCCCAACACGCAAGTGAGCTGATGCTCGACTCGGACCGCTTCGCAATCTCTGGCTTCTCATCCGGCGGAAATATGAGCTTTACAGTCCCCCTGTGTCTGCAAGGCGAACTCTTCGATCGAACCCCGTGGGGCGCAAAGATTATCGACCAACGAGCGGGCAACGTACCCAACGGCGTCGTCCACGCACCCCAGGCATCTTCCCAGACCCTCACGCCACATGGCTCGCGCATCAACCTCATCCGCCAGCAATCACGCCTCGATCGAATTGCCATGCTCCGCCAGACGGGTGCCTCGTCGTTATCCCTCGTCACCTCGTACAAAGACAGCTCGGGAGTGTCAGTCATGACAGAAGGAACCAATGCCGTTCTCAAGATTAGAGGAATAGTCTCCTTCTATCCCCCAACCGACTACACACAGACGCGCGCACAGCGCAGGGAAACCTGCCCGAGGGTCGACCAGAATCTGCCTGCCGTCTTCACTGACCTCTTCGACGACTCCTACCTCCAACCGCCCTCGCTTGACCTCTCGCACCCGTGGTTGAGTCCCGGTGTAGCACCAACCCACATGCTCGAAGCTTTGCCCGATGACATTGTACTCTTCTGCTGTGAGTGGGATATGCTTCAAGCCGAAGGCGAACGGTTCCGCGACCGCCTTCAAAAAGATCTCGGCAAGCGCGTCCACTACCACTGTGTACCAGGAGTGCCGCATGCTTGGGACAAGGCGCCAAACCCTCTTAAAGAAAGCGCTAGCGCAAAGGAGCAGTATTCGATTGCTTGTCAAGAACTCCGGCGCATGTTCGACATGGAAGAGGAAGTTGAAGAGACCCCGTCACATTCATTCGACACTATGTCACTGAGAAAGTATCATACAGCCGTCAATGTGGACAGAATGAGGCAGCAGGCTCACGAGCATGTATAAGGCTTCCGGTCTCCTCTCCATCCTTGATGTCATGATTGTTCAAGTTTGATGTTTTTTTCGGTCTTTGTTTTCTTCTCAGCTGCACGAGTATCATGTGACTAGGAGTTTTTGAGGCAAGTTATGATTGCTGTTTGTTCTCCAGCGAGACTCATGTATTTTATTCGTTTTCTGGGAAAACGATGTTTTTGGCATTATATAGTTACACGTTGGTCCTTCCGGACAAGTATGTTATGTTGGTTTGAGCGTTCCAATCCGCCCCTTCCTACGCCTTCGCTCTGTGACGTATAAGCATGCAACGTCGCTTCCCGTTCCCAATGGATGCTTGGAACAAGACCAGGCCATGAATTCAATACTCACTCAGCCTCCCCCTCACGAACGCACACCGCTAAACTCATCGCCACAATCTAGCTTTACTGACTCCAGATGTTACTGCAGGTAAAATCGCTGGTGGTGGTGGCTGTTACACTAATTGTCTGCCTAGTGGAACTCAGCCACGCCGCCAATCAACACTACTGCACCTTTTTTGCATCCTCAGCTCTCCCTAGAGCTTGAAGCACCAAAGCTGCCATGCAGAAGCTCTAGTGCATCACTCCTTTGTATAATTACAAGAAACAAACTCTACACCTGCCCTACTACATACTTATCACTACGCATGAAAATGGCACCTGGTATACACCTTTAGCCATTCCAGCATTGGCTCCGCTCAGCAGACCCTAATACAGATTACAATACTCACGACACCGGAAGCGAAGCCATGCAAGCCATTATCCCATGCTCTGATCTGTATGACCAGCGCCTCGGTCGGCTGGTAAATTCAGATATCAGAATGCCCAAGACGGACGGTATGAGGCCCGCTTGAAATCTTTATTCCTGCCACAACATCACGAACATGTTTATACTCGATGTCTACCTAATTGTAGTAAATAGAGTGTTAGCGCACTTACTTGGTCTAATATTCATTCACGATGATGTGATGATAGTGCTGATATTCTGTAGAAGAGACTACTCGTTCTAGTCGGCGAGCCCGTTTGGCCAGACTTTTCGCCATTCGCCGGTCGACCGAGAGCCAGCGAATGCCCCCGGCCGACGAGCCGTGCCAGACAAAGTTGGGAAGCGTCATCGCAACCTCCACCCCAAGTTATTTGACGAAAAGCACAGTTTGTCAACGATGCAAAACTTTGCCGAAGGAAATGTCTGAGACTAGATATTATTTCAACGAATATGACAGCAAAACCCTCGCTGTCATCACACCACAATCCATACACGCCAGCTGTTCTTTCTGTCTTCAATTGAAGAATGTCTTGGAATGTTTGAAGAACGCAACCCCTTCCCATTTATGGGCATCATCTTTCATTCTGCGCTGGACCTCAGATATCAAACTGCTGGGAAACATACAAGCAGACTTTCCTGGCAACATACGCGGAAGTGGAATTCGATTCTTCCCTGTGCAGAATATCAAACAAAGACGCTCATCACCCATTCGCCGAGAGTTCTGCCCTGTCCATCCAGATTATCAGTTCATCCGATCACAGTTGAAGCTCTGTCAGGAGACTCATGGTCAACCATGTAGACGATCAATGACTGGCGAGCATATTCTAAGGGTCATTGATTGCAAGTCCCGCCAGCTTACGACAGTAAAGCCTGGTGAGCCATACATATGCTTGAGCTACGTGTGGGGTAGCGGCACTACGCAGGATGTTAGGGGATTTGGGGACAAACTGCCAGCTAGTGTCCCCAAAACCGTAGAAGACGCCATGGATGTAGCGATCAACCTGGGCATACCATATCTATGGGTGGATCGGTACTGTATCGATCAGGGAAATGCCGAGGAGAAGCACCGAATCATCAAAAACATGAACAGGGTTTATGAGCAGGCAGAAGTTACAATCATAGCTGCCATTGGAGATGATCCTCATCATGGTCTTCCAGGAGTTCGAGGCACATTTAGAGAAAAGCCACTCATCCTTGAAATAGGAGGCGTAAGCTTTGTTTTGGTTGAGAATACTCCGTACGAAATAAACAAAACGAAATGGTCGAGCCGTGCATGGACATACCAGGAAATGCTCCTATCTCGTCGGCGGCTGGTCTTCACCAAAGCTCAAATGTTTTTCCAGTGCAGAAAGACACATTGCATGGAGATTTTCAATCCAGCTTCAGATTGGGCACAGAGCCTACATCTTCAATGCTTTCCAAGTCAAGGTATCGGCTTTTCTATTTACGACCTACAGGCACGATTGGAGGAATACTACATGAGACAACTATCGCTCGACAGGGATACTGTACTCGCATTCGATGGCATTGTCAATGCATTTGACGAGTCAGAGTACTTCCCTTTTAGGGTTAAGCAGTTCTATGGCGTGTTATTGTTTTACCCTGACGGCGATAACGATCAGGCAAGAAAGCAATTCATCTCAAACCTCTGTTGGTATGTATCAGGGAATGGTTACATTGCCTCAGATGACCAAGGGGGAAGGAATTTGTTTCCTTCTTGGAGCTGGGCTTCCACCAAAGCAAGCCATTTACAGGGACCTCTAATGCGCGCCATTATGCCGTCCTGCCTGGAGCATAACGACGAGATCGAAATTTGCTTGACAAGCAAGGAAGGTAGGGAAATGAATTTGAGTGCATTCATCGAGAATGCGAACAGCCACGAGGAGTTTCTCCCATCCATAAAGATGACAACCTGGGTTCTCCAATATTCATTCAGCTGGACTCATGAACGTCTTGATGAATGGCTCGATCGTACCCATTATTTCGAGTTTGGGCCCCGTGAGGACTGCCATACACTTTACCTGGCCTATCTGGGAGCTAATTCTGAACTAACTCTAGATTTACGGACGGAAGCTTTAATTCTGGACGAATTCAGACCCGGCGTCTTCCGTCGGGTTGGACTGTGGCGATCTAGGTTTGAGTATGAAATTTTTGCTTGGACAACGGTAAACGACATACTTGCTCGCGTGCTAGAGGAACTAAAAAGGGGAAACTATGGGACACTGTGGCTACCCGGCGGAGAAGAGGCGATATCAGAGATGAAGTGGCAGAGAAGGGCCTTGACCATTGCATGAAAATTGGAAAGTGGACTTCGGCTTTACACCTGAGATTTATAATTTTTATTCGATCCAAAAATCATATACAAGCTAACAACCAAAAACGTTTATTGGACTTACATTATCAAGATGTAGGTCCTCGCTGGCTCACTTTTTTTTAACATGATGTAGAAAGATGTAAAGATGTAAAGATCTTCCAATTCGCTGTTTACTTTCTGATGTTCGATATTGGCAGGTTGGAATACGGTCGGTCTGATACCCATTCTTTCAATATACCAACCCAATAGCCTAGACGTGAAGCTGATATAGACAATTCTAGTAACCTTGCTTTTGACATGTCTTTTGCTCAAATGAAGCTGATTGGAATACCTTAAAAAGAAGTTCATCCCCGTTCCTGAAAAAAAGGGATATAGATAAGATATTATGTGCTCAACGGACTTGACCAGAGCAATATGCAAAGTTAAATTGGAAGGGGAAAAAACGGGTAGAATGGGTATCCTAAACAAAGTTGCAGATAGTCACCTCCCCAGTAAAAAAAAACGGGACAAAAGATAAGGAGAGAAAAAAAAAAGAAGAAGAGGGCATCCTACTAAGTAGCCCGAAAGAAACGAAGGTTACCCGAAAATGGGTATGTTGATATCAAACTCCTCATCACTTGCCGCTACTCTCCCCAAAACACACTGCGCCTTCCTTCGCACCGCCTCGCTCATATCCGCCACATGCACCTGCGCAATATGATTCATCAGTGTTTCCACGCCGCCATAAACACCCGTGATTTTGTCCTGGAGACAGCAAAAAACACATCCATAGTTATCGTCATTCGATGCAGCAGCCATAGACCCACTATTCGCCTCGGCTGCAGCAGCAGCAGCAGCCGCCCCAGCCTTCTTCTTGACATGGGATTTTGCCAGAAAAATCCAACGGTAGCGGATCCCGGATTTGGACACTTTGATACGAGGATCCACGACGTCGAGCGTCTTGTTCTTCTTGGTGGGGTGCGGGGCTTTGAACAGGTCGCCGGTGAACGTGCAGGATTTGCAGGCCCAGAGGGACCTTGTAGCGTAGAGGCCTGCAGGCTGGGCGCGCACGGCAAGGCCCTTGGTGATGTCTTCGCGGACGGCCCAGGCGCCTTTGCAGAAGCCCCAGTAGTTGTTGCCTTTGTCGGGACGCCCATTCATCATCGAGTCGCTGCGAACGGGCCCGCTTTGGATCGTTTCGTGGCGGATGCTGTGCATGCGGTGGCCAGGGAGGACACCAATGGGCATGGAGGTGCTGCTGCTGCTTGATGTGGACCTGTGGGAATGCAGAGACTGGTTTATGCTGGCTTTTCGGGTTAAGTTCTTAGGGTTCAAGACGGCGGCTGCGGCGGTAATGGCTGAGAGTCCTGATACGGTTCGATGATGTCCTGGTGTATTGGCTGGTGCATTGTTGGCTGTGATTTCTACCGTGTACTTGGGTAGCCGGAGGTCGCTGGTATTAAAAGCTTCCTTTTCGTCAAATGAGTCTCGATATCGTTGTCGGGAACCGTGCTGCGTGGCTGATGTTGTTTCTCTATGTTGCTGAGTTCCTGGCCATGGAACATGAATTGGTGGGTTTGTACTCGCAGTAGTTGCAGGGGCTGCCTTGTAAGTTGAAGCTTTCCTATACACGCCATTTTGGGAAGTCTTGGGCTGGTTGCGTGAGGGCGCCAGTGGTGCTATGTGTGGAAGGCCGTATCTGTCTTCTGAATCTTCATGCGAGGAAGATGGGCTGGGCAAATTATGGTAGTCCTTGTCATTCAGTTGATAGCACTCGTCCAGTGTTGCTGATACTGAGGGGATGCGGCCATGATCCAAAGACTGCGACTGCTGGGATGGCCCAGGTGTTTGGTTGGATGACCCCTGTGAAGAATTGGAGCTGTTCCGATTGAGTGATGCAAGATATGATGGATCAGAACTGGCGCCCGAGGACTCGGACCATCGTGGCTGTCTTGGTACTCTGGCTTGTACATGGGAGTGTTTATTCAGGGCGACAAAGGGTCGAAGATAGTCAAACTGCTCGCTTTCCAAGGCAAACATGTCTTTATTGAATGTCAGACTCCTGGTACAATGCGCTCCATTTTGATCCGTCGATGCTCGTGGCACCTGGTGAAGTTTATGGTGAGAGTCTTGTTCGGACTCCGTCATTGCTGTTTCAGATACATCTTGGGGGCTCGGCGTACCGAGGGGTTCTTGTAGTCCAGAGTAGCTTCCGCTGTATCCGTGTATTTGTTGTTGATCATCCCCGCTACTGAAACTAAGGCTTTGATACGAGCTGATCATCTGTTGAATGTCTCTCATTACATTTGCGCGATGATCGGGATGTATGCGTTCTAGCGCCTTGCTCAAATCCTCACCAAAAGCATGTGCGGGAACATAGACCGGGAGAGTCGGAGTGGACATGTCTTTGATGCCAAGAGGATGGTAGTTCTCAGTTGAGCCGTGTCTTGTCGTTCGATATTCACCAAGGCGGGGATAGTCAGCGTAAGCGTCGTGCAGCGCATGGGTCGGCTCATGGCTCGACTGTGTGGTTGGTGGTAAGAAGCGCGACTGCCATAGTCTGGACTTGTCGCCAAAATCCTGGGGTTGCCGTGCCATGGGTCTTGTCAGATATATCCTTTGCTTGAGCTCTTCAAGCGTCACGAGCGTCTCTTTGCGATTCGTGAGTGAGGCCTGATGCAGAACTCGCAAATCGAGTACACAAACCTCACTGAAGGAACATGTTTAGTTGATCTATTTGTCATGTTGGATGTTTCTCGAAGACATACCTTGTAGCTGCTTGTTTGAGACTGTTGATTATCTCAGCCTGTAGCATCAATGTTATGTGGTATAGACGCTGTCGGGCGATATCTATGTGTGTTGATAAGCAGCGTAAACATGTGTCATGCTGGATGGGGTATGTTTTACCATCACCAATGCGTACTAGATCGCCCAACTCCCTTTGGTCCTGATCGTAGTGTAGGCCAATCTGTTGCTCACCCGCTACAAGAGAAGCTTGTAGTCGTTCTTCTTCCCATTCTTGTTGAGCCGAGTTTCGGGCTTTACGAGCACTGCGTTTCTTCCGCACGTGTTTCAGCAGTTCCGATCCGGCATGAAAAGCGGAGACGACAGCGGCCACAGCAGCGACAACCTAGGGCCCGGTAAGTGTCTGCTGGCGGACAAGTTGATATCTTATCATGGACAAAATATACGGGAGTGCGGGGGAAAGACGCCATCAAGTGGCGAAAAAAATGCCTCACCTCAAGACCAGACATTTTCAAAATGGTTGCTGGTTGCTGGTCGCTCGGCGAGTTTGCACTCGACACCCCCCCCACTGTCTAGATTGTGGTCCCTGTCCGTACGAGGGGCATTGATAGCAGTTTTGTACTAAGCTTGGCGCGCTCGCCAGGAAGTAGAGTCTGAGTGGAGGGATTACAAGCTCGCTGATGGGTGGACCAGGCTGTGTGTGGTCAAGGGCCGAATATTCCTGGCAAGTCGCTCGACTTGGGTGGTGAGGGCTGTTATCCACCGGCTGGATTGATGCGGGGAAAAGCCGAGGATACGTCACGTATCAGGCCGCTGCATGAGAGAAGGATCGAGTTGGAAACCAGGCAAGCACAAAGATGCGAGTAATAAGACTATGTCAAGGGACGGCGGACAGGAGCGGGGGAGGAGAAGGAAAGATTGGTGTAGATTGCATCGAGGCAGCCATTACAGTACAAGAGGAAGAAGACACCACTCAGCCTCACTCAGACGTAGCCGGTGGACATGCGAGCAATGAGCGTGTTTGGCTAAGCTTCTGCTGAGCTAGCGATAGGCGACAGTATTGCTTAACCCAGGTGCAGCCCTTGATGGCGCAGTCTCCAATGATACAAGCTTATGGCTGTCATGCAAGCGGGCTGTGTGAAGCCACCGATCCAAAAGTGACTCGATACAGAGACTGCGAGACACACTTGGCTGACAAGTCGATGTTCCGCCTGTTGGGCTTTCTTGACTGCGCCTACTACTACAATACGCGCGCTGCATGCACAGCGCAGAGACGAAGAGGCCATATACGTCCTGACGTACAAGGAGTTATACTTTTCCAGGGCCCCGTGACGTGAAGACTGAGCTTGAAAGGGGCGAGAATGAAGCTTGTATACAAGTAGACGTCTGATGGGTGGGAGCGCGTTCTAGTGCTGGAAATCTACTTAGGGGTAGCAGTACTACAGTGCGTAAGTAGGGGCGAGGACATCAGCGAACAAGGGCTGGGCCGTCCCGTTTACTACAGCATTCCGCCTCTCCCTAGTAGTCTCGCCTTCACCCAAGCGTCGCCCCTACTAGACTTTATGCTGATGTCATGGAATAGCCGGACAGAAGAATTCCGCGCTAGGATTTTTCACTATCTCACCGGTGGCACACTGCCCCGAGACTCCTGTGAGCATGGGGCCGACGTCAAAGGTGGTCTGACACTTCGTCTTGCAAAGCCATTGTACAAAATAATGCAGCGCATCTTAGTCCGTCTTACAGCATTACAGGGCCTCACTTGAAAAGTACCGTGCATGCACGTCATAAACCTACGCTTAGATTGCACAGTTGGACCTTGTAATAACTGGCATTTGAATCTTGCTGGGCTTCTGATCTAGAAGCCCGACCTATTTGTAATGTCTTTGTCCATCCATCCCCCCTTTACCCACCCAACCTAACCACCCTTGCACACCGTCCAGCAGCACGCCTTGCACAGTGTGAATCAGAATCCCCCTATTGATGCAATCAAACAAAGGCCAAATGGGCCTTTGATAACTCCGACCGAAACGACCCCCGCTAGCAACAAGGGCAAAAAAAACTACCCCTATGAAGGAGCCAGGCACAATGAGTGCCCATCAGGTAGAAGAATACATGGCGCCGTTAAAAGAAAGCCTGTAGAACCCCCTATCGCTAGAAGCGTGGCCTTGAAATGCCAATGACATAAGAAAAAAAATGCCAGAAGCTAAAGATGGTGGAAAGAGTTTGAATGATGAAAGATATAAAGATAGAAGAAAAAGAAAAAAAGGAAAATCGTCTAAGCGTCTTCGAGCTGCACTCTGTGACTCTTGCGGTTCTTGACTTCGACCATGGTAGGTGTAAGGGCTAGTTTGTCAAGGACTCGCTCTTCACTCGGTATGGTCGAGACGCGGACCACAGTTCGGGGACTGTGTGCTCTGCTGAGAGAAACGCTTCTCGCAAGTCCCACTGTAGCTTTTGCCGTTACTACATTGTCCCCATTTGCTTCTCGTCTTCGTGCTTGAATCTCTGCACGTTTTTCCCCAAGCCGACTAGCCGAATGCGGTGGGGTCGAGAGACTCTGCAGTCGCTGCAGCGGCGAAGGTACATCGATAGGCGCAGAAGCCGGGTGTGAACAAAGGGCGCTCATCTTGGTAACTTTTGGCTGCCTATGCGAGGGAGAACGAACAAGTGTCGAAACCGACGTGTCCGGGATAACTAGAGCTTCGCGTTTTGCCGCTCGAGGTGGCGGCGCGCAAAGTTCCCAGTCGGGTTCCCGGTCGTCGAGATGAAGTGTTGTGGGTTGGCCGTGGCCGTGCAAGATCGGGGCGGCAACAACGCTAACGGATTCGGCTTCAGACTCGGAGCCGGACATGGAGGCTGGCGTAAGAGCAGGCTTCAAGTAGGGAGATGCTGCTGGTGCAAGTTTTGCGGGATCAATCCTCTTTTCAGAGTTATCTGAAATCTCCACGAACTCGGTTCGAACAGGTGACTTGGAGGGCAGCGTCTTGGAACGTTTAATCTCCCTCTTGCTGCGGTTAATGATAGGTGTGCCCAAAGGTGAAGGTGCGTGAGACGTGATCGTGGGAGGGAACAGTGTTAACCGTGGTGAGGATGTCACAACTGGCGAAGTCACTCTGCGCTGAAGAGGGAAGCTCTCGACTGGCGGATCGTCCTATGCTGCTGTTAGTGTACACAAAGAGAGTCCAACACACTATCAAACGTACCTTGGCAGAAAGCTCGTTCAACGGCTTGACCTTTTCTGTATTTCCTTGCCGTCGCTCCAAGAGCGATGAACGGTTCGGTCCAGACTGTAAAAGGTTGCCGAACATGATGCTATACCTTTCCATTGTGATGTCAGGAAGCGTGATGTCTAGGATTGGAGCTTCCGTCGGGGTTGAACTGCTCGACTCCGCAGCTGGCAAATCGCCGACATTTTTGGGCGATACAGCATCCATGGTCGAAGCAGTGTCGTCAGTCTCATTTCGTGTAGGGAAATTTGTTGCCGGAATTGAACGCTGGATGGTCCTCTCCTGGAGGTCTGAAGCCGGATTTCCAAGCGTCACCGCGCGGCCTCTGATCGATGTTGCATGCGGAGGTGACTTTGGTGCGACAAACTCTCCATGGCTCCATTTGCGCGATTCGCGAATGTCGGGTTTGTATGCAGGTGGCGACACATTGCGCAGTTTGTCCCTCCCTGTTTCGTCCTTGAGTGAAGTCTTTGATTCGTTGACTTCCTCGTCGTGATGGCTGTCGGCACGAGCTGATTTATCCACCGACTGCGACAGCTGATAGAATGCGGCCTGCTCCTGCGGATTAATGGGTGGTGTCGGGGCTGCTTTGCGAAATAGCGACTTCCATCGACTGAGTTTGGGTTTGGCCGGCCCCGAGGGACCACTCAAGGATGGCGACGAGGCGTTGGGGTGAGTCAACATGTTTGCTGGGAGATCTGTAAATTCTGGGTTCGTCTTCGAGTCTACTGCTTGAGGGGGTGGGATCCAGTGCGAGGCACAAGTTGGCGATCCAAGAGCGATACCAATGATCCCCTGCTCTTTTGTGACATCTGAGGTATAGAGTACGGTTGTCGACGATGTAGGCGATTGGAAAGAGTGGACATGGTCTTCCGAACGGAACGACGGCGCAGGACTGATCTCCCTGCGCGACATCGCTGGGCGCTCTACAGGCCCGCCTGAGGTGCTCGGTCTGATTACCACGTCTGGAGCCCTGAGATTTCCCTCCAGTTGCAAATTCGCCGTAGACGCATGGTATTTGTCAAGATCTGTTTGAGACGCTTTTAGAGCTGGCATTGTGTTTCCCTTCTGTTGATCAATGACATCTCTGCGATTGTTTCTTAGGAACCGCAGAGACTTGGATCTCGTGAGCATCCCGGGCATGTTGGGTTTCAAAATCCGTTAGAGGGTATCAGATAGTAAATTGGGGGTCGACGAAGGAGAACAACACAATGGGCTTGAAAATGGATGAAAAAGGAATGGACGGCCCTATAGAGCCAAAAAGAGAACAGGTATCGACACAGTCGGTGGAGGTTCAAAGAACAAAGGATCGGGGTGTTTGGTCGGTGTTGGGATGCGTGCCAGTATCATCACCACGCGACCACCGGATGAACCTGGCGCCTCCACACTTTGCACACCGTCATCATAGCGGCGGCAATCATTTACACCCACTTTGGCGCGTCTGAAAGAAATTGCACAAGGTCGAGAACCAGGTGTGGAACCAGGGTGGTGAGCATAACATGCGAGCGTCTCCTGCGATTGGCTGCACAGGCATGCTCGCTATAGCGGCCCCCCCTGGTAGGCGACGGAATTATCTTAACGAGCGTTTTATCACAACCATGGTGCTGGCAGGAATAGGCGGCTGTCTCGTGGCGGGGACCGGTGTGTAAGGAGCACGAGCCCGGTTTCACGACGATGCTCTGCCGAGGAGCAATTTCGTGATGCGCCGCCAAGGGCATCAAAGCAACACGACAGTGGCTGATTGAGATTATCGGTCCGTTGCGGCGGCACACCGCGCTGGTGCTTACGGAAACGACGAGCTGAACACTGCCTTCGCCTTGCCCCTGATGTCGTCGTACGCAACAGGCAATCCGCACGACGCTACAGCAGAGCACTGCGCTTGTTCGTGTACATTCCATGGAAAATAGTCGATGCACAATGTGGCAGCCCGTACTATACTAGTACCAAAATGAAGCCCCACAGCAATGCCGCAACGTTTCGGAATTGCCTGCACAACGTCTCGCTGTTTACTCTACCTACGACATACGACGGGGTACCACGCCTGATCGCAACGGATGATTGCAGCAGGCATCCAGTGTTGGCGTCTCAGGCAACATGCTATTTTGATGGCTGGCCGAATCAAGTATGCCAAACAGAATCATGACAGCGGTATCGAAGACGGATGGAAGCATGCTCCCTTCTCCATCCCCACATCTGCCCTGCGTCGTGCGGCGGCAGAAGGTAGATGCACATCCCGTCGCTGTTCCACTGTCCAACGTCGCAATGCGCCAGGCCTCTGCGCGCCTGGGCTTCTGATCGCACGGAAAACCTTATGTTGCTCGGACAAGAAGCATCAAAATGCAAAGATGTCCTCTATGCAAAAAAGTCTTGCTACCTTCCTTCACAACCCCGTTTCCATACCACGACTTCAATCTTCAGACAGCGACTTGCCAGGCCTCCAGTTCCTATATCGCTCCGCCTCAGCTGCGATTGTATGGGGAACGTGTTGGTGTAGTGCCTGCTCAAAGTGGCGCATGTAAACCTGAGGTGCGCTGTCCGGACACATCGTGTAGTCGGTAATTGCCAGTTCAACAGCGACAGCACACAGGCCGCTAATATCTGCGCCACTGCTGCCCTCTGTTCGTTTGGCAACAACATCCAAGTCAACGTCGGCTGCGAGCGGTCTCGATCTGGTATGAATTTGTAGAATTTGCTTCCGTGCTTCTTCCGTCGGCAGACCAATGTGGATGTGCGCATCAAACCGGCCCGTCCGAATAAGTGCTGAATCGAGAATATCGGGCCTATTGGTTGCGCCGATGATGAAGACATCCTTTAGCGCCTCGATACCGTCCATCTCGTTGAGTAATGTCGTCACAACATTCAACCCACTGTCCTGCGTCTTTTCACGCGACTTTCCGATGGAATCAATCTCGTCAAAGAAGATGATGCAAGGTTTCGCTGCTCGTGCTCTTCGGAAAACATCCCGAATTGCTCGTTCAGACTCACCCACGTACATTTTGATGAGTTCGGATCCCTTTACGGCAAGGAAGTTCTGCCTGCTTTCAGTCGCGACGGCCTGTGCAATCAGGGTCTTCGCGCATCCCGGTGGGCCGTAGAGGAGAACGCCTTTGCGCGACTGAGGCCCACCGAATTTGACGTCGAGGTCAGGGTACTAAGCGCGTCGTCAGTCTCCTTTTGTTACTCGGATGCGAATAAAGTTATGAGGCAGGACAGGGATCTGTGTGCATCACGAACATGTGAAAATTGATGCTCACGTACCTTGAACGGGCGAACGGTAATGGCTTCTAGCACAGCCCGTACATGATCCAGGCCAGCAATGTCCGTCCACCTGACTTTTGGCACTTCGAGAATGCTATCCTTTAGCACCGTGGGACGCACTTGCTCTATCACGGCCTCAAAATCCTCCTGCTCGACAAAGTCGGTTTCTTCATCTACCTTGCCAAGCTCGGTCTTGTCTTTCCCGTTCAACAACTTGTCTATCCGCCTCGTATGGTGCTTCCTAGCAAGGTAGCAAAGACTAGCAATATCGCGACCTACGAAACCGTGTGACCGTTCTGCGAGAGCGCTCAGGTCAACGTGTGGGATATTGCAAGCAGGCCCCAGTATCTGGCGTATAATGTCTTCTCTCTGCTTTGCATTTGGTGGTAGCAACTCAAGCTCGGTCTGAAAAGCAGTCGCTGTTCGAAGGCTGGAGTCCACATCATACACGCTGCGCGCTGCTGCTACGACAACGACTTGGCTTCCTCCCAGAGTAGCGAGCTCAATTCGAAGCCTGTTTACTAATGAGTCGGCCTTGTCTAAAAGCCGATCTAGATTGTCCATCAATATTAGGCTTGGCTGATTTTCACGGGCATCTTGGAAGACATCAGAGAGGGCTTTGGCTTGGCCTTTGGGATTTGTATCGGGATTGATCCTGTAGACTTCAGTCCACGGACACTCGGCGAGTCTCTCAAGCAAAAGAGTCTTTCCAGTACCCTCTGGCCCGTGCAAAAGGAAGGTGGTAGGCCCAAGAAGGTGTCGGTTGTTCAGATAAGGTTGGCTGTTGGTAAGAAAGGAAAGATCTTCATTGATGGCTGCAATGTGGTTAGAAAGACCGCCGATCCCATCAGGCCTTAATTGAAGTACACCTGACGGCTTTGGGGGCGACTGTTCAGGCGTGAAATCACCCAAAGTGGTGATGTGAGTAGCAGTCTCATCAAAATATACGGCATGTTTCTCGGTCGGGAGTGGGTCAATACTTTGCACTGTGACCCGGACCTTTTGGCCTTTTTGCCTGAAGCTCTTTTGCTGAATTGGAAAACTGCATCCTGGCAGGAGGATATCTGTGTCTGCTGCTGCACAAGAGTTAGAAAAGTAGATGCAAGACAAGGTTGGCATGTTTACCCAGTGCATGGCGAAGCCAATATAAAAGTTGCTCGCCCGAGGCAAACTTGGCAGTCTGAGTTGGTGACTCGGAAATGCTGATCTCGATTGACTTGAGAGGCTTCCACGAGGCGGCCTTTTCAATGAAAACAGGATCATTGAGCGCGAGGTCATAGTGCTCCCGTAAAAGATCGGTCACCTTGGCAATGGGTTTGTTCCCGGCGTTGGTCTGCGAGGCGAGCCATGCAACAGCGTAGCCTCTGAAGCCTGCTGCAGTGCTAAGCCGGACGCAGTCGCCATTGCTGAGCCCGAGAGCCTTGAGTTCTTTGGCCGACAGATGGACGCGAAAAGCACCGCCCTCGAGCGCATTGGTGGGAATGCTAGGCGGATTGCGCTCCAGCGGGCGCAGGGTATAAGTAGCAGCCGGACTCATGTTGCTTTTTCCTGTGCGCACGTAATGAGGGGGGATTTATGAAGGGGCGCGTTTCTGAGGAGGGATGGATTCTTGTACGCATGTGACTCGCATGATGCGTCTACTGCATGTGCTCACGAGGATTTTTTCTCCGCAGAAGCCGTGAGCAGGTCAAACATGCGACGCTCGCCTAATTTCCCTTTTGGGCTGCAACCGACTGTGGTGGTAGGAAAATAGAGTGACTAAGCGACATGCGGGCTAAGCCGGATTGGGCCATTAGCGCCGTATGCCTTCTGCAGCTTTTCAGTGTCGACGACAGGCCCAAGAATCGCAGCTGTGCAATGTGACCAAGCCGCGCAATTGATGCCACCGCCGCGCCTCTCTCGACATCTGCGGCCATGTCACCTCCCAGTGACCGCGAAGCAGGTTCGTGGCGTCCATGCCACCACCCGCGCCAGACACTCGACCGCCGGCAATGACACCCCGCAGGCACGCACTGCCAAAGGCGACAACAACGAGGGCAGTGCTCCATCCCGCCCAATTGACTCGCCCAGAGACGGCCCAATTGAGGAGAAGCCCTGGTGGAAAAGAGTATTGAACCATGTTACTTCCTTGGGGGCTCACGTTGACCCCTCCACATCCACTGAGCCCAAGTCGGAACCTCCACCACCGCCTCCTCCTCATGCCAAGGACCCAGGACGCTCTGAAGCTCGCCTCCACGAAGCAAACGGAGCAATACATCAGGACGAACAAGACCCTGCGCATGGGAACCATGTGAGAACTCGTCGCAGAGAGAAGAAATCTGCGAAGCGGAAGCAGGACCATGTTTCGACTACCCAGCAGACTGATATTGCAGCCATGCGGCAGCAAATTCAACAGCTCTCTCAACAGATCAAGGCACTGCAAGCCCACCTCGAAGTAAAACTTACGGAAGGGCAGTCGTCGTCGTCATCTTCGCATACCTCTGCTGTATTAAGAGCTACGCCTGTGAAGAAACCACAAGCAACACAATCCAAGACGCAGAGTCTAGACCCGGCTCCCCAAACCCAGACTAGGCGGCGTAAAGTCCGCTCTGACATAATAGCCCCCAGTGAGATAGAGAGTCTTCTGCGTGCCGCCCAAGCTGCTTATAAAAGCTCTGTCATAGAATCTCTTGACGTCGTTCGGCCTCTTGCAAAGCTTCGTTCTGACCTAGTCATACCTACAGCTCTCTCCCTTCTACGTCACTTTCATACCACTCAACGCCTTGCCATGTTCGATGACGATCAGTTAGTCATTCGCATCTGTGCGAGATACAAGAGATGGATGGATCGGCTTGCCTCAAAACTGTCCAAGCCCTCGAGTGAAGCGCTCAGCCAAGTTAACTCTTTAATGGCCAGCGATGTTGCCAAGTACGCGAAGACGCAGCTACTTGGCGATCCTATTGTTTTCCTCCTGGAAGCCTGCCATGATCGTCGCGTTAGCGTAGCTAAGTGCATCCAAGAGATAGGCCAAGAGCTGGAAAAGCATGAATCTCCGATACTCAATTTAGTTGCGAACAATTTCCGCACGCATATTGAGGCAATAGCCGACCGGGCTTATGAAGAAGTAGATCGTCGCTTATTGAAGGCACTCGGAGAAGTTTGCGTTGCACGGAACGTGCTAGCGAGAGCGAGACGACCTGGTCGGATGACATCCCCCATCTGGATTTTGAGGCTCGAGAGAAGCTCTGCAATCTCGGCGATGAAAGAGAGCGCGGCAGCGGTGAGGGAGTTGGAGAAGGAGTTCTTGTCAATGCTTCCTAAAGGGAATCTGCTGCACGACACGACGGCCGACTTGGCCTCAACTCGTCTTGACAAGGAAGTAAAGGCTCCTGTTGTCGATGACACAGATGATGGACAGAGGATGATGCGCCAGATCCATACACAGTCGCGCTCGATGATATCTTCTACGAACTTGAGGGTGGATAGTAAGGATGGCAGTCATGAGGCGGCTAGGGCTGAAGAGGATCCAGAGGCCAAGCAGGACGTGTCATTTGACGATTCCTCCCAGTCGTTACCACCCAGTGAGGAAGTTAGCGAACAGTCGCTGCTTGAAGAGCTCTTCCCAGAAGCGCACAGTGCTCCACCGCCTCGGCCGACGGAAAAAAGCAGAGATCAATATCCCAGGCTGGAGCTACCCAAGTCAATTATCCCAGAGCTTGTGGGTGGGCCGCGGAAGGTGAATAAAGGGGAAACGGAGCCGTTTCAGCAACATAGGGAGCAAATTGCTGTGCTCCAGCTGACCAACTGCAGCACTGGATTGACCGAAGCCGACTTTCGTCGCATCATACCCAAGGGCAAGCACCTGGAGGGATGGCGGCGAGACAGCGACTTCTACAAGGTCATTCCTGGGCGAGACCCTTTGAGTCTGGAACGCTTGCCTTTTTACTATCTTCTGTTCAAGAACACAAAGGCAGCGTTGGCATATCAGAAGAATGCTTCGAGACTGCACAAGCTCAGCGCCCGTTATCAGCCGTCAAGCATCCTATCTGCCATTCCTCCACCCAAGGGGTTTCTCGAGGACGGCGAAGACATTGGTGCTGCAGTAGCTTCGTACAACCTACTGCCCAAGGATCATGCAATGAGTCTGAATGTGCTTATGCAGCCGTACAACCCAGCTCTACGGTTGCTGATTGAGCGGGGCGGGTACCAGCCGATTGCACCCGGTGTGGATGAAAAGGGCAATCGCATCTGGCGGGTGCTCCTGCACATTGAAGGCTACGAACCGTCTGCATCCGACATATACATTGCCGTTTGCACCGACGCATACAGGCAGGGAAGCCTGGTGCCGCTGCGAAACGAGTCGCAGTCGTCAATCCACCGGCTGCGCGACATGATCAATCTCAAGATGTCGAGCAAGCTCGTTTCGTCGAGCCGGCCTCGGGCATACGGCACCTTTGACCACTCTGATTCTCCGCTTGTGAATGCTATGTCGTCGTCATCGTCGTCGTCGCCGCTGCCGTCTTCGATGGAAATGGCGTATGATGACCCGGAGATTCAGAGCATGATGGGTAGCGCGGACGAGGACCGGCCGGCGGCGCAAATGCACCAGGAGGTGATGAACCGTGTGTACAACCGGTGGGTGCTGGACTTTGAGGATGAGCATAGTGCGCGGAGATGGTGTCTGCGATGGCATCGTACCGTGTTTCCAGAGCCTAGTGGTGGAGACTCGGTGTGGAAGGATAGCGAGGAGGTGAGGATGTGTAATGCAGAGGTGCTTTGGTGATGGAGGGAATGGAAAAAGAAAATATGTGTTTGTATTTGTATGTGTATATAGAAGTCTAGACATGTGAGCTCATGATATCTGTTTGTTCTTGTGTGTACACGTTTATCGTGGATTCGTTTATTTGCATGTGTATGTTATAGTAAATGGCTATGATTGCCGGGTATCATTCGCTCCTTCCTTACGCCGTAGTTGAACCTGCAGTCCCAATTCAAAGACACAGTCTAAGCAGCTACATCCGACTTGGACCCCCCGCCCATGGTCAGGAACGCAGGACTCCAGTACTCATTCTCGCCTGCTTGGGTATCCACCCACACCAGGCTGTCTGCCATGAGATCCTCGATAACAGCATGAGCTCTGGGTCTTTCCCAGTTCAAGTTGACCTGCAGCATAGACAAGGTCACGTAGCCAAGCAACTGGATGGCCTCGAGAACGGTACTTTGATCGACATTAAGTTCCTTGGGCACGCTCCGAATCAAACTGCGATGTCCGATTTTAACAATGGAGAAACACGAACCGAGTGGAGCCAGAGCATCAACAGCACGCTTGATGTCGTCGTCGGAAACGGTCATGTTGCCGCCTATGCGGGTGGATTTGGAGAGGCGAGCCTGCAGATCCGACAGGGAGATTAGGCCGCCGTTTTCAGCGCGGGTGGCGCGGCATTCCTCTACGATCTGGACGCCGAGGTTGAAGTAGAAGTCGTTGAGGTTGGGGCCCAGGAGCTGCGTCCAGATGCTTTCGCCGCTGGCGGTGCTACTGGCGTCTTTTGCTGTGCTAGGTGCGGTGTCTTTGTGGTATGAGGAGGCGAGAAAGTCGATGTTGAGGGCCGAGCACATGCGGGCGAATTCAGCGCGGAAGGCCGGGTTTGCGCGGATGTCTTTGGAGTGGGTGATTGCGAAGTTGTGCAGGAGGGACTGGAAGACGGAGAGCTGGGTGGAGAGCGAGTCGGCGTTGCGGGTGCGGAGGGTGGCGCCGTGATTGGTGTAGTGGTGGTTTTGCAGGCCGCGCGACGAGAGCGACGACAGGCCTGGGGTGCGGCGGCGGTCCATGGCGGGCAGTGGCACAGGGTGCGCTGTGTGTTGTACAACGAGTGTACAGTAGGCGATGGTGTTATGGGTGTGTTGGAATAGGTGCGTTGCCGCGAGAAGCAATGGGCGGGTAGAGAGAGAGAGAAAGGGCCGGAAGGCTACCTAGAGGGGCATCGAGCTGCAGGGACGATGCAGTGGGCTGGACCCTATGATCGCCAGCGGAGAGGCTGACGGCGTATGCAATATGTACCGTAGTATTATTAACCTGCCAAAGCCAAAACCCGCGTGTGCACCTTGTTTCAGTACGTGTGTGTGTGTGCTGGTCTTGTTAGCTTGTTGCGTGATGTCTCGTATCAGCAGAAGGTTGGGCGGGGTAGTAGTGTAGTGTAGGTGTATGAGGAGAGAGTAGAGTAAGTAGAGTACAGCAAGGACAGCCGACACGGCCCCATACTTGGACACTACTATATATCCATACTATGCACATGGCATGCGACGCGCGCAGATGGCGTGCGTCGACAGAGAGCAACAACCACAACACCAGCAAGACCGTGAGCAAGATGCCCGTACTCTATTCACGGCTATCCAGCGCGGCAGCACATGGCCCAGCCAAACTCTATACGGTCTGCATGACGTATGGCGTATGGCGTCGGTCAGACATCGGTCGCATTGCACCCCCCCAAGTTGTTGGAGCGCTACTTGCTTGCATGGCTGTCTGCGTCTAGGCACTCTGCTCTAAGTAGATGCGGACGC